GTATTACATGCCTTGACAAATTTCTGTTTGATACAGAAATGGCGAGACCAGACTGAAAGATGCCACTTAAAGATGATCTGCAATCCTCCCCTGGTTAAAAAAAACCATGGTAAATGGAGAGATCTACGGCAGAGTCACCTTAATGCTCTGTAACATATTAAGGCTGGGTGTAAACATGAAGGGAGGCTATAGGCTTTCAAGGGTTACACCATTTATATTTGGCTCTGAAGATCTGCAGTATTTGGAGGGCACTAATAATACTAGAAGACTCCCTAGCATTGGGTTGGGAAGACACAGGGAAAGACCAAGCACACATCTGCGCCCTGACAAGGGTTGCTCCTGGTAGAGGCTCCTAGGAAGGCCAGGGAAGAAGCTCTATGAAACCACTTGAGGTGACTCTCTAGGGTGCCAGCTCTTTCTCTACTCTTCTGGCACTCCTAAGCCTCTGATATGATCATATAAACTTACAGGAAAAGTAAAATGACCTTTCATCCCTCAGTCTGGGCCTGAAGGATTCAGTTAGAGCACTAACACCAATTTCTGACAGAATACATAGTAGGCAGACAGAGAGACACCTCTCTTAGGCTGAACACACACATACAGATGACCAAGTCCAGAGGCAGAAAAAAACAGTGATGTTCCTGCTGTCTTGCATTCCGTTTTGTTTGTTTGTTTGCTGGGAAAGATTCGCCCTGAGCTAACATCTCTTGCCAACATTCCTCTTTCTTTTCCCCCCTCTCCAAAGCTCCAGTACATAGCTGTATATTCTAGTTGTAAGTCCTTCTAGTTCTTCTGTGTGAGCTGCCGCCACAGAATGGCTACTGACAGACAACTGGTGTGGTTCCATGACTGGGAACTGAACCCGGGCTGCCAAAGTGGTGAGACTGCCGAACTTTAACCACTAGGTCATCAGGGCTGGCTCTTGCATTCAGTTTTAAGAGCAAAAAATAAAAATTTTTTTCCTAGAAAACCCCCTAGGAGATATGTTCCTCATGCCTCATAGGTAAGAATTGTGTCTCATATCCATTCCTAAACAAATGGAATTACCATAACTAATTTAGATTGAGAGTCACCTATTTCTGAGGTTATAGATGGGCTCAATCCTCCCAGTAACTGATGTCTGAACAAAATCATAGTTCAGTTAGCAAGGAAGAAGAGATGTATGGATCTGGATAGGTAACTAGCAGTGCTTCCTATACCATGTTTCTATCTTTACGGGAAAAACAACCAAAAGAAGTTCTCTCTCCAACTTCTAGGGGAAGAAATAATATAAGTATTTCAAATTAATTATGATAATAGTAATCAATATTAAGTCAAAACACTGAAACAAGTCAAGCTTGGGAAAATATATATATTCTATAAAGCACTGCAATAAAACTGTTTCTGGTATTTCTTGTTCTCCTAGGAACCACTGGCTTATAATGTATAAATATTTAAAAGCAGTTTTTAAAACATATGGTATAACTTTGGTATTCATAATGGCTCAGAGAGCTTTGAGGTATTTTTGAAAATTGACATTCATGACAGACCACCTCTATGGTCTACCACAGCGTACTGGGTAAACATATTCATGTAAAACACATATTGTTTACATAGTACATATCATCATAAAAAGTTGCAGTGTACATACCAGATTTTTCTACTATACTATGTTGGACTATTAATAACTCAAATTTACATCCCAAAGGGCAACACTGCCCCAATTCAAATTTTAAAACAGCTGTGCAAACAAAGTGAGGGGCAGGGGCAGGTGTGTATGATATGAAGGGAGAAACACATGACATACTAGGCCATTCAGAGATATAACCCCATAGAACCAGTGCTAGATATATGACAGGAAATATGCCAACCTTGTACATGGGAACCCCTCACCCTGTAAGTTAGCTAGTTTAATATAATGATGAAACTGTATAGTGGTGGATTTCTATTTTAGTAAGGAATGTTGGAACTATATAGTACATGTTATATATACAAAATAAGACTACATCTGTATTCCATCTATCCAAACAGTCACTGCTAAATAGTCTAGAACAAATTGTGTGCTGTTGTCTGCCTTCACTCACACACTCACACATACACACACCCCTGCTCATCGATAAAGTCAAGCTATCAAAATTCTAGTGGTACTCATAATAATCATCTTGGACATTCCTTCTTTGTTCTAGAATTTTCCCTTGATTTTGTCTAGTTTCTAACCTTTAACTTTATAGGGCATTTATGATCTGGTTTCCTGCCCTCTCTTTTTGGTATTCTTACGTTTTCATTCTGAGCTCTATATCTCAAGGACTTTTTTTTTTTGCTTAATTACTCTAGCTTTCTGCACTCTGGACATTGATATACCCTCCTGGGCCCTCCTGGGTTCAGCCTTTGGTTTGGATCTGCAAACTGGCACGTGAGTAGAGTCCACCTAAGTCTCTGTATGAGAAAGGCTGAAATAACTACAAATAATATTGAATATATTTCTACATATCATCTTCTAGAATTCTGTATGTCTTCTATGGAACCATAACAAACACTTTGTTTTCAACCACGTTGTTCATCAGAATTACCTACAAGAGCTTCTTAAAAATACTTATATTCAAGTCCCACTCCTGGAGATTCAGGATGTCACAAGCAGGTCCCAGGCATCTATATTCTGAAAATGTCACATTTGATTCAGCTGGGCAGTCAGAGTTGAGAAACACTGTTATAAAAACTGCAGCAGAAGGTTCATATTTTCTGTCTTTTACTATAGCCAAGATAAGGCAAGAAAAATGGAGATAGGAGTGTGGGAAAGAGAGGAGGGAGCGAGTTACCTCTGCCATCTGGTTTTTGAGATGAGAAAATGTGGCAGTTCAAAGCTAGGCAAAACTGCAACATGAACCGAGGTTGTTTTTGTTATTCCTGTCACTTATTTTTCTACATTTTTTTCCTATCTTTTGGCTTTCCAACTCTTTTCTTGACTTCCAAAGTATTTGAAGGTACTCATGTTGCATATGTCTCCACCTATTTCATCACATCACTCAGTCCTGCTTCTTCCTGCTTATTCTTTGCTTTCCTGACAAGCAAAACTCCCCACCCTCTGTTCAGTTCAGGTCTGCATGAGGAAAGCAAGTAACACTAAGACACTACTCTTAACTTTCACCACTTAAGCCTAGTATTGTTTACCTGATAATCTCAATGACTGTCAATGGTTAAGATATTTTTGACAGAAAAGCCTTTCCATGAATTGACTTTGCCTACGAGGAGGGAAAATGAGAGATTGGAGCTGTCAGTCACTGTTGTAACAAATCTTTCCAACACTTTTTCTTCTCTGAATCCTGAGGCCAAAAACGGCCTACCAACTCAGTGAACAACGGCAACTTCCACTCTAGAGAAGAGAAGGCTAACTGCCTTTACCCAGGCAGGATTCAAGTCCAGTGCCTGAGCATCTGTTAACTGAGAGGCTTCCATTTCCAGGGTGTGAACATTTGGAGTTATTTTGTTCAACTAATTTTCCCAGCAGACTCAAAGATTATTTTATGAATGACTAAGTACTAAATAAATAAACTATGTGAACCAAGGAGAGATTCTGGGGAAATGGGTTACGGGTTAAACTGAAATGAGAAAAATGGAAGTCTCATTCACTCTAAAAATTGCCCCTTTCTTCCCACTAAAATGAACATTAGGATTCTCATCATCACTGTTTCTGAGAAAGATACAAGAAAGAACAGGATGGGAGAAAAGACAATAAGAAAGAGAAAGAGCGACTATGAAAGGCAAAGAGAAGGAAACCTGATTTTAAACATTTATCACCCAAGCCCTTATTTCTTCTGTCTGCAGTAGTACTCTTCCCACATCTTTGTTCTGATTAACTTCTACCCATCTTTCAGGACACAGCAAGTATTGCCACACTGGGAACAACGCCCACCCCTCACGCCATAGACTGCGCTACATGCTATTCTGCTGTTAAGATAATACAGATATAATGCTCTGTCTTACAGCACTTACTACACTATTTTGGAACTAATGTTTAAGGATTAGAAAACAAAAAAGAACACTGGTGCCATTAACGCTATTTCACAAAAACCTTTGCTAATTCTAAGGATAACGTCTGTTTCACCCAGTCAAATTTCAGTAGAATTATAAAATCATAATTTTTACCTCTTGCACATGACTAAAAAATAACCAAAATTTCAAATTCATCTGGGATTTAAAACTGAGAAAAAGAGCAAACAATACCATCCATATGTACACAATTTCCTGACCTAAAAATTCTTAGTAAGGGACACTGGATGTGGCTAAAGACTTCATTAAACTAATAGAAAAGAAAACTGCTAATATTAATAGATTGAATAACCATCTAATCTCAACCAGAGGTTTGAAACCATATCTGAAAGAAAGATATAACATACAAAATGATCAAACAGAGGAATTTCAGGAGCTGCTCTGGATGAAGGGTTGTGGGGTGCCTCAAGTTCTGTCAATGTACTCTGCACTCTGCTCCTCAGGGACCTTCTCAGCCCAGAGAGCACAGCTTGAATCCTATTATTTTAATGCGACTACACAGTTTTGCAGCTTTTTAAAATCAAAGTATGCTCACTCTTCAAAATTCAGTAAGGAACTTTTTTGGGGGGAAATATCAATATTCCTTATAAAACAGAGAAGGCTTTGGAAATGAAAGCAAACCCTGCAACTCTATAGTCACGACAAAATAACTTAGCTTTACTATCTTAGTAAAATGTACATCTTACAAGTATTTTTAAACAGAAGTTCTCTAAAACATATACCACAGAAAATTTTCACATATTTGCAGTTTTCAGCATTCATTATGACCATTTTATGACCAAAGAAAATATAATAAAATATGTAAGGTGATATTGCATCAAATTTCATTTGATGTAACACTAAAATTGCAAGAATATCATATCTCAGATGTTAATTCAAAACAACAATAATATCAACAACAAAAAAGAGGGAGAGACAGAAAGCAGCCATTATGCTCAAACAAGGAAAATGACGAGATAAGGAGAACTTTGTACCTTTATGTGGGTTTTCAAATTCTTCAGATAAGAGGTGGTAACAACAACCCACACTGCAAACTCCCTTAATTTCAGACTTGGAAGTAAATATTCGCAGAGTATTTGGAGCAAGATCACCACAAGTATGTAGACCTACCATCAAACAATCCTTTAAAAATTAGAAGAAAAAATAAATTTTGGCAATTAAAAGGAAGGCTAAAAAAAAATCATTTCAGGTGAAGATTTTAGTTCATTAGAATATGCAGAGCTTTTTCAAATCATCAAATTCTACCTAGAAAGTACTGTATGTTTTTTATTTTCATAACAAATAATTATTTCCTTTATAGGCAAAATGACGATGATCTTTTATCACAACTGACATACTTTTTTTTTTTTGTGAGAAAGATCAGCCCTGAGCTAACATCCATGCCAATCCTCCTCATTTTTTTTTTTGCTGAGGAAGACTGGCCCTGGGCTAACATCTGTGCCCATCTTCCTCCACTTTATATGGGACGCCACCACAGTATGGCCTGACAAGTGGTGCATCGGTGCGCGCCTGGGATCCAAACTCGGGCCGCCAGCACCAGAGCGCACGCACTTAACCGCTACACCATGGGGCTGGCCCCACAAATGACATACTTTTGAGTTGATTTTCTAGTGCTTTTGGTTACTTATCTACTTGAGTTTTCTCTGATCTCTTTGGTAACTAATATTTGCTTAACAACTAGCCAAAGTAAAGGTTGGACCAATCAAATGTAGCATGCATTACTAGGACAAATTCGTGATTTGAGACACCTTACTAGTCAATTTTTTCATTCACTTCTTCACAAATAGCCCATCAAAACTTATCAAACATCGTCATAAAAAACAAATAAGTGGTGCTAAGTTGGTATTTCTACTCTAACAACAAAAAAAGTTTACTTAGTTCAGTCATTGCTTCGAATATGGCAAAATTAATTTCAATATAAAAATTTTTGTTCTAAATCTTATAACATGAATTTTACATAAAAATTCTCCTATAAAAGGTTTCTTCTAATTACCCAAAGCCTAATTTAAATGTACACACATAGAGAATGGGTACGGATGCATACACTCACAGAACCTTGATCAACATACCAAGTTTGTTTTAACTCTTTAGTGCCTTAATTTCCTCATCTGTAAAACGAGGATAATAATCGTACCTCACCTCAAAGGGTGGTTGCAAGATTTAAATAAGTTAATACTGGTAAATGACTTACTACAACCTCTGGCACACAATAAAATTCAGTAAATGTTTTCTATTCTTATCATCATTATCATGTTATTATAAATTCAAAATAATAGACATATTAGGTTGTGAATCAAGTGTATTTTTATAACTATCTTCAGAACAAATACAATTGTTTCATTTAAGTTATTTTACTAAAAATGTTATTTTAGCCCATATAATCTAGACATAAAGCATAGCTGAAGTCTAATCTTTCTAAAGAAAAAAATTATACCTGTGAGTAGCTTTGACCTAACAGAATATTCAGTTGCTTCAACCACAATTCTCTACAAAGCACAGATTTTGGAGTGTTGTGCAACTGCTTTTCTTTTCTTGATGATTAGATAGTATGGGTAGGTTTTATCTAGATGTTATAATGTTATAAATAAAAAGGAATTCAGAGAGGAAGGGTTTGTTGCTAATTGAAGGGCAGAAGAACAGAGGTATAAATCTCTCTAAGCTTAGCTTAGCTCTCCCTAAAGATAATATAAGAACATTTAATCTCATTCTTTACTGTATTCACCATATAAAATTAGTTAATAATATTAGCAGGTGGCACACAAAAATATGCAATCACCATATTATCCTAACAGTAAAATATGTAAGTATTGTAGTGTGTGTTGTGGGGTAGGGAGGGGACAGGGGGTATTGGTTACTTCTGGTTATTAAATTGCTAATTTACTCCAGGATCCAAAAACATTCTTCTAGCATATCTTATATTAGACAGAGTCTTATAAAAGTTTGCATATAATTTTGATCATATACTTTCAACAAGACTTTGAAAAATATAAATATATGATAATAAGCACTAAAAATTTATATTTTTTTGTAGTTAGGTTAAAGTAATTGCGGTTGTTTAACCCTACAAGAAAGTTAAAGTATAAGCTAATTACTGATTTCATATATAGGAAAAACAATGAGAATTAACCAGTTTCTCTTAATTAGTGAAATCCAAAATTATCTGGGAAAAAAAAAAATTCCCCATTCTAAAATGACAAAATGACAAAACACTGGTCAGCTACCAAACAAGGATTTTACTTTATAAAGAACTCTGGTATCTTTTGTTTATTCATTTCTTTAGGGAAGGATATCTGAAAAATTTAACAAGAGTAGAATATTACAACTTCAAAGGCTACCTTGTTTTTTAAGACAATGAGCTAGGTCAAATGATTTCCAGAAGCTCCTCTACAATATTGTTTTAACATAAAATATTGCCTTTGTTTAAGATATATTGCCTTTCTATTATATAATCTGACATCCTTGTAGTTTAGAAAAAGTTCAAATTCTTTAAGAATACTCAGAAGCTACTCTTGCTCAAGAAAATTGCATATTTGGTTACCAAGGCTAACATTAAACATAATATTGCCCTAGATACCTCTTTACTTCAAATTTAAGAGTTTTATGTAAGAGTTTTCTCAGATTGGAATTTTAACAATCCCTAAATTGCGTAATGAGAACTTAGCTTACTAGCTTTTGTGTTAGTACTTCTGTTTGACTTAGGAGGCTTGAAATGAGTGGAGGGCACTCTATTCTGGAAAACAATAATTGTCAATCTTTGTACTCTTGTCAGATTTTGATAGCTGTAGGAATCACGAAAGCCTGCATATAATTTTATTTTCTTGGTCCTTCAGATTAATGTCATCAAATAAGATATGTAGTTAAATTTAAGTAAACTACATTAAATTTTAATTCTATGTCTTAGAGCTTTTTTATTAATCAATTTAAATCAAATTAAGGAATTCAAAAGTGAAATCACCTCCAGATCTTTAATAATATCATTTAGTTCTGAGTCAGCAGTGATAAACGATGTTAAAGGTAAATATATATTTGATTCTTTTGACTTTGATGTCGTTTTTCTTCTCTCTCTTTTTGCTTCAGACATTTTTCTCTTAGGTATCTGGGATGAAGAAGTAGGTTCTATGGCATTAATAGGCAACAAGTCTATAAGAGAAAAAGCATTATCAAAACATAAATTTTCTTCTCGATGTGAATAAACCTGTAGGTTTTCCATTTGTTTTCTGATGTTAGAAATTACAGAGCCCGAAAAATCTGGCAAAAAATCTGAGGTAGACATCTCTTCTTGATTTGCAGGACTGCTGTTACAGACTCCCTCAGTATCTGCTTTATAGTCAATTCCATCTTGCACTTTCCTTTCTTTTGCCATTTTTAATGCCAGTCCATTGACATCTAGTTTTGACCGAGTATGATAGACTTTCCAATGTTTCTTCAATTTCCTGTTTCTTTCCTCAGCTCCGTGAGTATTGGTATTTGAGGAATCAATTCCATAAACTTTTAAGCCATACTTCAAGGACAAAAAGGAGCTTAGGTAGCCTTTTCCAGAACCCAGGTCAATCACCTAAAGTAAGAAACACAAAATGAACTAAAGGATTTTAGTCAGAGCACATTCTTGATATTTTTTGAAAAAAGCAAGTAAAAAAATGGTTGTATAATTTATACAACCTGTTATGTTTGTTTTTTATTTTAATTTTTTGATTTCTGTTAAAAACCAACCACTCTCATAATTTTTATTCAGTATTTTTAAAGGGGTTCTAGGCAGTGTAATAAGACAAGGAAAAGATGTAAAAGACATAAATATTGGAAATAAAACTGTCTTTCTTCATAGACGACATGACTGTATCTGTAGAAAATCCTGAGGAATATTAAAAAAAGCTAACAGAACTTGTAAGTGAATTTAGCAATGTGTCAGGATACAGCATCATTAGAAATTAACAATGAACCATTGGAACATATATAATAAAGTAGCAAAGAACAATTAGAAAATAAAATTGAAAACCAATTAAAATAGCATAAAAATAGAATGTCTAGAAATAAATTTAACAAAGGTTGTGCAAGATGTCTACACTGAAAACTGTAAAACATTGCAAAGGAAAAATTTAAAAGATCTAAATAAAGATATACCATGTTCGTGAAATCGCACACTCAATATTAAGATGGCAATTCTCCCAAATTGACATGCAGATTCAAGACAATCCTAATCAAAATCTCAGTCAGGGTTTTTTAAAGAAATTAACAAGCAGATATTATAATTTATATGGAAAGGCAAAGTACCTAGAATAACCAAAACAGTTTTGAAAAAGAATAAGGTTAGAGGATTTACAGTGATTCAGGAATCAATATAAAACTACAGTCATCAAAACAGTGTGGCGCTGGTATAGACACATAAATCAATGGAAAAGAATAAAGCCAGAAATAGATCCACACTTATATGGTTAACTGATTCTTGACAAAACAGCTAACAGAATTCAATGGAGAAGATAGACTTTTCAAAAACTAGTGCTGGTATAAATGGATATCTGTATGGAAAAAAAGGAACTTTGCCTGTCACATGCCAAACACAAAAACTAATTAAAAGTGGATCACAGAGCTAAAGGTAATAGTAAAAACTATTAACTTCTGAAAGAAAACATGAGAAAATCTTTGTGACATTGGGAGGGGCAACGATTTCTTATGTAGGTCATAAAAGTATGAACTACATGGGATATAATTGAAAAAAATGGATTTCATTAAAATTAAAACTTTTGCTATTCAAAATACATAGTTAAAAAGGAAAACAAATATTTGCAAAACAAATCTGACAAATGGTTTGTACCCAGAATATATAAAGAACTCTTACAACTCAATAAGACAAGCAACCAATTAAAAAATGGGCAAAATATCTGAAAACACACTTCACAAAAGAAGATATAAAAACAGCCAATATGAAAAGATGCCCAATATCACTAATCATCAGGGAAATGCAAACTAAAATCATAATGAGATACACACAAATGTAAAATGGTACAGGCACTATGGAAAACATTGGCAGTTTACCATAAAGTTAAAACATTCACTTACTATATCACCTACAAATCCCACTCCAGGCTATTTACCCAAGAGAAATGAAAACAAGCCCACACAAAGTCTTGTATGTGAATAGTCACAGAAGCCAAAAAATGGTAAGAACTCAAATGCCCATCAACTGGTGAACGGAAAAACAAATTGTGGCATATCCACACTATGGCATACCACCCAGCAACAAGGAGGAACAAAGAGCAAACGTACACAACAACACTGATGACTCTGAAAAGCTGTGTGCTAAAGGAAAGAAGTCATCACAAAAGTCTACATACTATTTGATTCCATTTATACGATGTTCTAGAAAAGTCAAAACTATAAGCAGATCAGTAGTTCCCTGAGAATGGAGGAGGAAATAGCTTGCAAAAGGGCATGAGGAAACTTTTTATGGTGATAGAAATATTTTTGATTATGGTGGTAGTTATACAACCACATACAATTATCAAATTCATCAAATTGTACACCTAGAATTGGTGAATATGGGAATTATACCTCAATAGCACTAAAAATGATAAGAGAAATAAAAAATTACTAAGATTCTTATTGTATTGCCATGTCATTTCATAAGAAATAAATGGACAATTACAGAAATACTATCATAAGAAATCATTATCTAATCTTATTATATCTATCTTTAATTCCTAAAATCAATTAAACGCTCACTTAAGTATGAGCCACTCAAGGAAACATTCCTACATTTGAAGTAACGCATGTTATTAATTAAATCCTCAAAAATTTCAAGGTCTTGCAATTCAAGTAGTTCATAGGCAAGACAATAAATAATGTCCCCTAAATAAATGACTAGCTTACAAATAATTCCCTATGCCCCTTTTTTATGTTAATCTCTGGGCTAGGAATTGTGGGAAATACAGAAGCATTATATATCTTGATTTTAAGGAACCACAATCTAACTGAACATACCATACCCATACTTACGAATACAAGGGCTATACAGTAGAAACTCTATTAATCAATTCTGCTGTATCTCAATCTCCAGAGAAAGCAAAGCTCTCCATTCCTTTCCTTTTATAAAACACATTCACTGATGCCAATGACAAGCTGAAGGCTAGCAACCTGTAGGTTGCTTGCAAGCACCAGAACGTTTGTTCCAGCCAATTCAGATGTTTTCTTACCAAGAGGTAACCGAGTTTGTTTCCAGATCTGTTTATGACAATTCCACTTGTGAATCAGGAAAATTCTGGCTACAAGTAACAGAACATCAAATTTTGAACAATGAAAAAAATTCACCTTAGAAATCTGGTAGTAGAGGGGCTGAACCATTCAGAAGCTCAACCACATACAGTCTTTGGGCCATCTCATTTGTAATTCTTCTGGCTGCAAGATGGCTGTAGAAACTCTAAGAATCATGTTGTCACAATATAACATCTAAAAACATTTTCAGTAATGGGAAAATTTTCCTACAAAATCTGTCAGCTGACTTACACTTGTATCTTATTGACCCAACTTGACTTTTATCCCCACCAAATTGTCCTTTCAGTAACATATGTAGTGTTACAATAGAATGAAAAACTGTGTGCAACTGAAAGTTACACAGGCCATACAACTTTTTGCATTCAAACTATTTGGTCTGAAAAGCAAAATCTCCAACATCCTGATCTCTTACACCTTACTCACAATAGTCTTCTTCTTCCTGGATCATCCTATAGGTTTGAAGAAAGAGGCATCACCAGTTCAATGCATGTGGGGTATCTTCTCAGTCTCCTAATTCTGTTTAGGAGACTCTGCCACAGAAACATTGTAACACACAGTGGTTATGTTTCTTAATAGTTTTAGTATGGTACTATACTTCGGACAGAAGAGTTATATTTTGTTGACTCACCTGGAGATCTAACTGCCATTCTAGGCTAATGACTTTCAAATTCATAACTCCAGTATAGAATTCTCCCATGAACTTCATACTCATATATCCAACAGTCTACCTAACATTTTCATATTAGAATTCTTGAATTCTAATAAGCATCTCATATTTGACATGTTCAAAACTAAGTTCTTGATATTCTCTGTAAAACCTGGCTCTCCCATAATCTTCTCCATCACAGTTAATGATATCTTCATACTTTCAGGTAGAGAACAGAACTCCTTTCTTTCTCTTATACTCTCCAACTGAATTGTGAACAAACCCATAATCTTACCAAGGGTACTTCATACCAACTGCACCCTAAGCCTGGCTTACTACAACAGACTCCTCAAGGGTCTCCCTGCTCCCACCTTTCCCTCCTAGAGTCTATTCTCAAGAGAGCAAAACAATGTCTAATCATACCACTCCTCTTAGCAAAATCTCTTATCACCTCTGTAATCTTATCTCCTAATGCTAACCTCCTTGGTTAACTAGGTTTTTTGCCTTAACTCTGGAAGCTCATGGTCAGGTAGGAGCTAATTGTCTTGACTGTCTACAAACAAAGACAGGCGAAGAATGCAAAGACAATGGAAATATTTGCTTTATAACACTTCCCAACACAGCAGCCAGAGTGATCCAGTGGCTCCAGTGGTTTCCAACTCATTCAGGAGAAAAGCCCAAATCATCACAATGGCCTCGAAGACTCTACAACTTCATGACTTGCCTTTCACCACCGCAACTTCAGCTCCTACTTTGCTGGGCTCGCCCTCTCCACTGGGGTTCATCTGGCCTCCTGGCTGTTTCAAGAACACAGCAGGCATATTCCCACTTTGGGGCCACTGAATAGTTATTCACTCTATCTGAAAAGTTTTTCGCCCAGATATTCTGATGGATAACTCTCTTACCTCCTGAAGGGGATCTTATCTCAAATGCTACCTTTACAATGAGGTCTTACTTGCCTCTTCCTTCCTAATCAAAAACTTTAATCTCCCATCTCTGAATTAGCAACTTCTTTTCCTTTTTATTTATTTTCTCTTTAAAGTGTATCAACATATCCAATAAAAGATACTTGTAACTGTTGTATTATCTATCTCTCCTCATTAGAATATGAATGCCATAAGGACAAAGATATGTTTTGTTTTGTTTACTACTGTATCCTCAGTATCTAAAACAGTGCCTGACACATGGTAGGAGCTAAAGAAATATTTGTTAAATGAATCCATGCATGCAAGTATGAATGAATGAACATATTTTAAAAATAAAAATTAAGATAACTTGGTAATGTGAATGAGAGAAGCAAAGGTTTTTGGCATGTAGGGAGCAATATGGTTGAGGCAAAAATGAATTTTGTTTTTTTCTTCTCTAGTTCTCTATGGTCACCAATAAAGTTAAGTATTTCAGAATTTGGGTTTCCAAATATCTGCATGAAATTTGTATTTATTATATCAGCATTTTAAAAGTAAAGTAGTACATATATAATACATTTTAAACTCTACTGTGAGAATCCAATATTGCTATTAAGTGATTTCAAGAGAAAGATCTCATAAGTATTTATTTTAGGTTATTTTAATCACTAGGAACAATCTCTTTCACTACAAAAAAAGTTCTCTTAAAGCAGGTCTGACATGATATGTTAGGTTATTTCAAAAATTTTTTCTCTGCACTTTAGAAATAAATTTGCTTTATTAATTTAAAGTGGTTTATTATTATGTAATATTTCATATAAATAAAAGAATAATGTAGTCAAAATATAAAGTTATGAAGCACAACAATAAATACCCCTTATTTTAGTCTGGGTTACCACAGAGCAAATTCTACAACAAAGATTTAAGTATAAGTGATTTATTTGGGAGGTGAAAAGAACACTGGTAGGAAAGTAGAGAAGAGTAAAAGAGAAAGGAAGGCAGCCCAATAAAAGGTGTGTTATTAAGCAAGATACCACTTCAGGGCAATTGGGTTTAACCACACTGGGAAACTCTGAGAGTTAGTGTAGAACACACACCTCAGAATGATCCCACTTGAAAGGTCAGGGAGTTGACGGATTTGTGTACCTACTAGTATCAATCATTGATTCAAGGCTGCTCACAGGAAGGAACTAATTCCCAGAACTTGGATGCGGGCAGCGCCTTGCTTCAGCAACCAGAGAAAACCCACAGGGAAAGAACTGCAGATATGCTAGGTAGAAAGCAGGCTGGCACACCATGGAATGGTAAGGCCCGAGAGTATCTGGGTTAGCAACCCAACAGCATCTGCTATACCCATGAACTCACCAGCCATCCTCAGAACTAGAATATTAGTATTTCCACTGCATATAACTATGTTTTCCTTCCATATCCCATCTCCCTACCAGAAGTAAAAACCATTCTCAAATTATTGTTTATGATTCCCTTGCTTCTTTAATAGTTTTTTGCACACATTTTTTGCATTAAGAATATACCGTTATTTTGCTTAAGAGCCTTTAAAAAATGGTACCGTAAAATATACAGTCTTCTGTAAATTGCTTATCTTTCCTATTCAATTTTATGTTTCTAAGATTCATCCACGTGATATGTAGGGCAGTAGTTTGCCAAGTTTTCCTGTGTATGTGCCGCTTCTATTCCAGGTGAGTATCACTGCCATGGTGAGCCTGTTACTGATGCTGAGAGGTACCGTTTAGGTCTGGTACAGTGGAGAAAAGGTTGAAACTATTGTCTTAGCTCTTGCCTCTAGCCCCTACCCAAGAGATCCATGTTGCCACAAGTGGCTCTGCATGCCTAGCCCAAGCTGTGATAGTTTTCTAATCATCCTCAAACTCTCCACAAGTCTGGAAGAATCCATGGAAAAGGTCCTAATACCTAATAAAAATTGAAGGAGGGAAAATCCCCCTTTACCCCCAAAGATGTTCTTGTAGGGATAAGAAAAATAACTTACTATTTTTATAAGCCAGGGATAAGAAAAATAACCTTATTTTTATAGGCCAATGTAGGCAATCTTTGATTTTATTTTAACATCTGTTTTCAGACATCACTACCTTTCACAAAAGCTATTTTTCACAACAGTAATGCATTGTGATTCTGACACTACATAAGAATCCAAGTTCTAAAACACAGTTTCTTGGTGTTAATATAATGAAGCAGGTGCCCCACACCACAGCTTTGTAACCCAGGTCCTGAGAACATCTAGCAGCAAACAATTTTGCAGAATGTCATCTTCATAATGCTGCCTCAAGTTGGAGTTTCAACAAATCATAGAATTCCCCTTAACTTCTATCCACTCTGAAAAGAGTAAAATGTGTAGCAAAACGTTTATTAATAGTTGCATCGTATTTTTAGTATAAATTTGTTATAATTACAAGATAGTGGGAAATTTAAAAGAGCTGACATATCTAACGTCAACTATTATTTAATGACATTTTAAAGGCTAGATAGTGACAGTGAAAAGGAAATTTGAATGATACAAAAAAATGGCAATAATTTTAACATCTGGAAATATTCTTACCTGTTTTATTCCACAGTGATCAGCAACACTGCTGATCAGCTCTGACATTGCCTCTACTTCATGAGATTTTTTCAAATTCATAAACGCATCTGGCTTCACATTTTCACCTCAACGACAATAAAGCAAAATTAAAGCACTGCTATTAAAGAAACAAAATTTAACAAGAATCATCAGTTGATGTTTATGTTTTCTGTAATTAAATATGAAAATAATATAAAGATCCTATTGTGGTGTCTGTATGATAGATCTCTATTAGTTTAGCTGCTATGAATTAAATATGAACTAATAAAATAAATAAGAAAACCCATAGAACATTATTAAAAATATTCCTCGACCTATAAAACAATTAACTATAAGGAAAAGATTGTTAACTGAACTAAAACGTAGGAAAAAAAATGTGATCTATAACAAAGTTGTTCTGTTTAATATGGTGCATGAGAAAACCTCAGCATTTGGCACAAGCCAATCTACCAGGGCTCATGATACAATGTCTAACAATAAATTAAGAACATGTTGGAAAGATATACATATATGAACAATGTATTGCTTCTAAGTGCCTAAAAAACATACACACACATACACAAATAAACCTACCAGTTCTCTGTTTTTGATTTCCTTGAAGTGCTACAAGTAACTGTTCAAAAGGCGTACATAGTCCCAAGTTTTGTATAGAATAATATTTCGCAGCCAGAGCAAAGGCTTCCACACTCACTAGCTTCTGAGAAGTTTCACAAAATATTTTGGAAAAATCAGTAATACCTAAAAAAATCAGGACAAAAAAGAGAAATGTTAGCAATAATTAAATAATTGATAGCTAATTTGTGTGAGATTAAATAAACAATAAACAAACACTGGATCTTTACAACAAATTACAATATTTTCATTTTGGTGTGAATTTTGACAATCTCTCTACTGGTTCCATTATATTTTTTATTTAAGCTATTAGCTATTCATAGCACCTAGTTTTCTCTTAATACAGTATACAATTATATATTTAAACTCCAAAGTAAAATTTGGCCTTTTTTGTTGTTGTTGTTCTAAGAGCCAAGAAAAAGAAAGAAGTTTAAAATCCTGCTAAACTGTACTGGAGTCATTAAATTTATGAATGGTCCTGGCTGACCTACAACCGTGAATGTAAAGGAGGTTAGCCCATGCAACCCCATTCCTCCCTGTCGACACTGCATGTGGAACAACGGCAACAGCCCAGTGGTGTCAACATTACTGTCCAACACTTCTGGCATCATTGGGACCATGTAGAATTGTGTGTGTGTGTCGGGGGGTTTGTATATGTTCAATGCACTGAACTCAATATGAGTTCTAAGACGAATCAGGTGACGATCAGGTGAGAACAGTTTATTTTCTTCCCATGGTTAGTTTTAAACAAGACATCCCATAAGTTTAGGGGAGAAACTATCACCAGTTTCCAAATGCTCACTCCTTTATAAGAGTATGGTAAACTGTCGTACCGTTTGCCAACAGCCAGTGCCCCTCTCTGCGTGAAGATCACACACCCTGTTGAACTCAGGCATGGCTAGATCTCGCCAAGATGAACTACGCCATTTTCAGGCAGAAGTTTTAGGAGTATCAGAAGATTCACTAAACTTTTCTCTTTTCCCAGAACTGTAATCGTTGAAGCATGTGTCAGGATGAAACCTGCCTCAGGGTGAGTCCCCAGGTGACTATGACAAAGACATCACTGCTGTAAAACCACAATGGACATGCAGCATATATGGAAAGTAAACTTCTTTGCTTTTAGTCACTGAGTTTTTAGGCTTTTGACTGCAGCATAACCTTCCCTATTCCAATGGATACCCATAGGCACACTGACAGACTGGCTTTTTATTTGTTCAATCTCATTTTTCTAAGGCCATTTTTAATGCATGTTAACTTATTTACGAAGATTAAAAAAAGGCACTCCAATTTGTCTGTAGTGGTTCAAAGAAACTCTTTAGATGGAGCAATCCAATTGAGTCCCTTCACTGAAAATTATTTTTAGTAATCCAAAAAAACCACACATACAGTAGTTAAATGAAGTATTTAAAATGTTCGCCTTACAAAAGCATGGTGCAATGCAGGGAACAACTTTGGTTATACCAGAAAACCCACACCATATGCTAGGAACTCTATTCTAGCAGAGCTGATCCTCCACAGTTACTTATGAAATTTAAAAGTCCACTTAAACACAAAGAATAATGATTCTCCCTGGCAAAAATTAAAAGCAAGAAAATTGATGAAGGCTTGCAGAATTCTAAATAAAAGCTACATGTTTACTTAAGAGCTAATATCTATTAAGTTAGTGGTGGTAATGTTTACCAAATTAATTATTAAGAATAAAATCAGCAGAGCTGTGTAACTTCCATTTCTGGATCAACTAAATAGAAATTTAAACTACAAAATTACTATAGTAAATTTATTTAAGATATATATTGTGGATTATATAAAGTTCTTTGGACATTTTACAAACTGAATTTACTAACGCAGCCAAAAGTAATAAAATCCACGTCAAAATATTTAGGCATGATACAGAGGGGAAAACACAGTCAACTATTACGTGAGACTCTCAGGTTTAAGGGCAGTCTCAACATCCCCAAGTTCCAGGGCAGCAATTTCTTCGAGTGTGATAGAATAAGAGTACTAAATCTCAAAGTGCAGAGGGACTATTATAGTAGTCAGTTATTGGACAATGCTGCCAACAGAAAGAAATGTGATGTTTCTGTTGGAAAAGTAAAGGTTCAATCAAAGCAATTTAACTATCCTACTGAAAATACTTGAAAAAATTCCAATCCAAGCTGAATTAAATGTTGTTAATTTGATTTTAATTTAGGCCTCCCAGTAATTTCAGAAATTTGGAGAGCTAAATTACAAAGATATTATCTTTTTAACAATGCTTACTTTTATAAGAAGGATAGTATTCTGATTCAGTCCAACAGTTTATGTCATTTAGAGCTACATCCGTTTATTCAGATAGCCTAGAACTCCGTGAAAAAATCTTTTGGAATTATGGGAATACACCTTCTGCCCTTTCTTTGTTTTTAAGTGATCCAGCCTGTAACTTCCATTACTTGTGATTTATAGAGATTCAGAGAGAGAGAGAGGTGTCAGTGATCTTGTCTTTACTTCCATCCCTGAAACAGGATGTGAGAAAAGTTATGTGGCAATGGTATGGTGTATGGAGTCCTCATAGTGCTTCCCTAGGTACGTAGAACAGTTTGGGTTTGGCAACTAGCAAAACAGAAACCACGGGATTACTCAACTTATATTTGGTTAATTCTTAATTAGTTAGATTTTTTACACAGTGACAGCTTTGTTTTTAAATTTGTTGCCCATTGCACCTGCATATTATGTGGCTTGATTGTTTTGCCAATATCTCCCTCTACTGGAAGGAGCTGCTCTGCTGTATTATACGCTTTGTCTTTATTTAGTCTTGTTTTTTGTACACCCTATATCAATAATCCAGAGGCGTCTTATAAGATAGGTTAATTGAGCATGAGGGAGCGAGGGGGGGCGACGAGGCAGGGTAGAAGTTTTTTTCTATAAATATGAGATCAGGATATCTCTAAGTATCTTTTTCTTTTTTTAATAGCAGAGGTCATTGAACAGGGAAAGATAGAAAAGTTATATATACACATGTTGGATTATAAAAATCTCAAAGTAGAGAAATGAATAATACTGTTTCAAAACTAAAAATAAAATAGAAACAATCAATGAATATATATTTACATTTACTAAGTAAAAATACAATTTTCAAAACTAAATGTCTTTATTTTACTTGAATGTTACCTAGCAGGAAGAGAGAGTACTGTTAGGACTTCACAATAACTCTTCACCATTATTGCTAGCATGTATTGCACATATCCTATGTGCCAGGCACCACGCTGAACAGTTTTCATTTAATGGAATAGCCTTAAAAGCTAGTTATACAGTGCCTTTATCCCCATTTACAGAGGAAAAAACCAAGACTTAGGCTGCAATTTAGTCAGGTTCGCACAGACACCAAGTGACAAGGCATGTGAACCAAGGCAGTGTTCAGACTTTGCTCTTAATTCCCACATTCGATTAGCATACCACAGCAATAAGTTCAGCGGACAACAAATGAAATCAGGCAAGACAGGCGCTAGGCAGATCTGACTGTCAGGATCAGGTCTAGCAAGGGGGCCGGCCCCGCGGCATAGCGGTTAAGTGCGCGCACTCCGCTACTGGTGGCCCAGGTTCGGATCCCGGGCGCACACCGACGCACC